TGCTCTTTCGGTGGTTTCGTTCACATGACATATTGCAATACTTGTATGGTATGACACGACTGTATGGCGAGCAGATATGACACCTGCCCGAGCGCTTCGGGGCAAAATTTTGTCCTTATCACGGCCTTAGCTTAGCGCTCTCGTCCAGAGTGTTCTCAAGGGGCCAACTTTATGTTGTATTCTATTTTATTACGTTGTTCTACGTGTAAAAAATTTGAGTTTTCATTTTAAAACTCTTGTGTCCCACATGTGCCTCTTGGTGTAGAGGGAACGAAATTCCCATAGACAGGTAGCTAGGTATATGTTGTACTATACTTTCTCTGGTGTTCAGTTGGGTAACCGAAGGCACTTGCTTGTGTCGTGTGTTGTCTGTTGTCGAACCATTCTTGACAAGTGGCAGAAACATCGACATGTACTGAGACCAAAAATTATCCGAAGAGAGAGCGAAGCTAGTAGACAAATTTCGGCGACAAGCCAGTGTACCTGAGATCCGCCCTCAATAATTGGATGTGTTCACGGAACTGAGCCTAGAGCCACAACCTTTCCTTGCCCTGGTGGTGAACCTGGAGGGACCTGGCGAACGAGCGCGCCTGACACCCGAGCTACGGGGAAGCAGCTCGTCTTTCCGGCACATTGTCTTGCAATGGGGGTGCTGTTATAGGCCTGGGAGTCCACACCGAACGTGGACTCCCAGGCCTAAAAGTCCACACCGAACGTCCACACCGATTGCCTCGGCAAAGCCAATCTGTGTCAAGGCCAGCGAGTGAGCCCGCCTGACGCCATCAACTCAACGACGTCATCAAGCGGCGGCGCTGGTCTCTCTTACGCAACGCACGGTGAGCTATCTCAGCTTACGGGCCCGCCAGCATCCCGATGAAGCAATCGGCATCATCCAGTCTGGAGAGCCTTACGCAATGCGTGGCAACATCACTCGTCCTTGGGTGCAACCGAGCGCAACGGCTCCGGATTTGAGGATTATGACGCAACACAGTGGTGGGTCCCCATTGGAGGATTCTGACACGACCCGGCAGCAGTTCTGATTGGACATTGATTACGTAAAGGATCACCTGGGGCCTATAAAGAACCACGCGGCGCTTCGCCAAGCAGCCAGCCTATGCGTCAGAGAAAAGCCGACCTAGGCGTCAGAAAGAAGACATCTCGGCTTTTCGAGTCCCTAAACTGTCGGCCCCAGTGCTAAATATGTAACGCTTCTATTTCTATGCTGTACATAAACCTTGCCTTAGCTCACCGTCGTCTTGTCCGCTGGTCTATCAGCTCTGCGCAGAAGCAGCCGCGAGCAAAGCAGCGCGCTACGGAACAACCTTAGCGGTCCTTCGCCTCGGCGCACTACGCAACAGTGTCGGCGGCGGTGCGAGTCGTAACTGAGTGCATCGGCGCGGCGTGCACCCTCTTCAAAGTAAATATAGTACTGTAAATCGGGCACTTAGATATTTAACGTAGCAGTGTTAGAGCACACGTTCGAATAAAAACCAGTCTTTGTGAAAATTAGGAGAAAATCGCTGCTTTTGCACTTTGTTATTGCTGGAAAACTTCAATAAATTTTGTTACGTAGCCAATTTAGTTCGTTCATTCCGGTTGATTACCACATTGAATGGCGGGTATTCGCAGGATATAGAATTTTTTTTCAGATCGGGACCATCGTAAAATTAATTTTTGTTATATAAGAGTTCTAACTACATATGCCCGCAAACCTATACATCTTGACGTATCAAGCATTCGTACTTTGGAGCACATAAGCTGTACGAAACGTGTTCAGAATTTAAGCGTGTGAACATTATGCGTATGAGCCTACTGTCCCGCAAGAAGATCTTATGATATGTAGATGCGATATCATAAGTAGCTCAAGCTAAATTAAAAACAAAAAGCATTGGAAAAGTCACGGTTTATGACAAATGTGCTTGTATTATCCTTTCCATTAGAACTTCTATTAAAGATTTACCTAATCAGCAAAGAGACATGTTAATGAGAGGAATGATCGAAGAAGTATGAATGCGCGATCGAATATACACTATGCTGAAGCAATTGACTAGTTCATTCTATGCGCAACGAGGTATGTAGCCAGTCGCGTGTTACGAATTGAAAGGACGGAGGGGTACGAGAGATTCTGAATTAGGGGATGAAAAAACACCATTTATACTGCACTCGAAGCTGATGGCATCAAATAAGCAATTAAACAATTTTTGCTGCAATGAGCAATGTAAGGGAACTCTTTTATGGGCTGGTAATTCATAAATGTAATGAGTTAAATCAAGTCAACAATTTTCAGAGGAATACTTATCACATAAAAAACATCGCCAATAACGAGGGACAAGAGAAGAAGGAGACGGGCAGCGGCACTGACTTACAACAAGATTTATTTGCTAGAACCGCACAATATATACTTGGGCAGTATCTGACAAACAAAGAGAAAAATACAAAACAAAGAAAACAATCCACCTAACAACTACGTAATCATCGCCACAACGCACCATGAACAACACGTGAGCTAACGTTCTGAAGAAAATATATTTCTTTTTGTGATAGCGCAATCGAAAGCCTCCTGACACATGCACTGCCCAGCCTTCCTATCTCTGCAGCCTCATAAATTTCACGTATCATCTGGTCCCGATGACGCTTAATGAGCGTACAAAGCTGAAAATCGGTTGTGTCCCCGATTTTCAGCTTGATGAGTAGATTTGTATTCAGAAAAGGGGCATAACAGGTGTTTAAACGATGGCTGACTTTAAAAAAATAAAAGTTAGAAATGGAAGGCAGAACAATTTTTCAGCTCAAGTATCCAACTGCGGATACGGCCACTAATTTTAGGGGAGGGGGGTTGTTCGAAGTGACACCAGAAAGGAGGCGTGGTCCTGAGTTTTTTTTTTAGTAGCACGAAGACACCCTCATAGGATAAACACAATTTGTGCTCACAGTGGTCCCACTAATGTGTCCAAATTGGTGATAGGAGGTGAACGACAAGCAATGAAGACAGAGAGGGAGGGGGGGAGTTGCCGACACATGCTTTGGGGAAGCGATCGCCCCTACCACCTCATTTCTGGATCCGCCACTGCAAGAATCTCATCAAAAACTCAAAAAATAACACTTTCTGGTGGGTTGCTTAAATTAATAATTAGTGAATACTCGCTGTATAACATTTTAATTTGGGACGTTTTCTCGAGCCTCATATCTTATATGTTTACCGATAAGCTTTTACATATTTATTCCGGCGTACCACTGCGCAAGATTGCTGTAACAGCAGCTCAAAACAATGCCAGTCTGCACATACATATTCAAGCATCTTTGGAGTTTCTCTGATGACCACGAGGTCGCGAGTTCGGTTCCATCGCTTTGGACACGTTTTACTTCATGGGGGCAGCAGAGGGCAAAACGTTCCATGCACCACGAATTCGGTGTACTTTAAAAAAAACCCAGGTTTTAAAAACTATTGCAAACTCTAAACTTCAGCGCTCCTCATATTTCCCGGTAAGGTTTCAAGACACAAGTCTCATACCATGAAACATCTTGAGCCATTTAAGCACGCATAGTAGTGCACGTTAAAGAACCCCAGGTGGTCTAAATTTCCGGAGCCCTCCACTACGGCGTCTCTCATAATCATATAGTGGTTTTGGGACGTTAAACCCCACATATCAATCAATCAATCAAGCACGCATAGTGACGTCACTATGACGATGATGGAAAAACATTAACTCTGCTATGTGGACATGAAGTAAGCCCATAAGCTACCTCAGTCATAAATGCTTTTCACCGCATAGTTTGGCGTCAGACAAAATGCGACTGCTCGATCATAAAAATATTGTTGAAATAAAAGACGGAGGTAAGTTGACGAGATGAAATCGAAAGTAATTATTTAAGGAAAGCACTCTTTACTATACAAACTTCACGTTAAGAATGCGTTCTTCATAACTAATAATAATAATATAATAATAATAATAATAATGATAATTCTTTTATTTCCATCAACGATGCAGGAGACTGTGGGTAAAAGTTGCTTGAGACACGTCAACTTGACAGAAGGCCCGCAGCCACCTTTACAATGCAGCAGCGACAGCACACATGACGACAAAGAAACAAAGAAAAATTACTGTTAATTCTTACATAAACAGTTACATCAGCATCACTCTTCTTTACTATGCTAGCCTGAATTGAGGAAGTGGTCACGCAGTGTTCATGCAGAAGTAAATGATATTTCGATGTTTGATTTACGACATGAGTTCAAAAGGGTTGGTAATGTGTAAGATATTCGCTGCATAGCAGTAATTTGTCCGTGCGTTGACCACCTTCTAGTGTTCTGTGTGACGAGTGTTATAGAATGTGTGTTTTTACTAGATTAGATGGCGCATAAAAAAACTTGAATATTTTTTTTTATTTTCTTTCATTTTAAGTTTTTATTTTACTTTTATATTGAATTTGGAGCAAGAGCAACGCAAGTTTCGTCACATACTGGGGAGAACATCAGTGATACAGCTCCCTGTAAAATGTTTTACATTGAAAGGCAATAAAGATACTTATAGATAGAGCTTCTCACATGCCTTATGAATGAGTATAGCTCTTTATGTACGGATTTCCATTTCGGTATGAAATTGTTCATAATGACTTCTTTGCAGTCCTGCATACAATGGACTCGGCTCTACTGCCTGGAGATAGTTAGCTCAAAAGAATGAGAACCTCTGTCTCTTGTGAAGTCCACGTTTCTGATGAAACTAGTCCTATCCCGGCCGTACCTTCTCTTCACTAGAACGAATGTTGAATGCTAAAACGTGCACCGCGGAGTCGTAACAATGTCTACACAAGAACGAAAAAAAAATTCAACATCAGCAGTAGTGCTTACCGGATGTGGCGCTCTGAGTGAGAATATTTTAGAGTTTTGTTTTTTATCGTCAAAGTGCATCTTCGTCGAAACTTGATATGCAAGACGGCCTCGAGAGCGTGTGCCAGCAGACTGCCCCTTTGTACTCGCCAAAGCAACTACAGAAAGCTGTTGAGTACCGTGCTGATAGAAGGCAGCTGGTTATGCACCAACCTCTTATTTAAAATGTAAATATGACGCTTCCGGATGTTTATCAGAATTTCATGTCTGAGAACTTCTTTATAGATTCCATTCTCAAACCATTTTTTATGTAAGCCAACATATCATTTTCATATATATATATAGTTCACCTGAGGTCAGCGACTTGTAGTGAAGCATGACAGCCGGACGTTCAGGTGAGGTTCCTCTGAAACTTTCTCCTTTTGTACCGAATTTCCCACAAACATGTATCTAGCTGCATTTCGTCAAACACGCCTCGTTTGGAATTCGCACTGGGTTCAGTTGAAGTATCATATCTTGTTCAATTTGCACCTGCACGACGTGGGTACCAAAAGGGCCACATCAATTTCTTTCGTTTTTCTTCCTTGCATTGAAGAACAACTTCCAACCCCGTACTCGCAAATATGCCGAGCAAAAGGCGCCGGTCGTAGATAAGAGGTGGGAGGCGCGCGTCGTGTATATACGTAGTCGGGTGAAGAGCACAGACACGTGAGAGATTGTGGGCCACAAAACGACTTTCCCGGCTCTCGGTCACCCCGGTAACCGATGTACACCGGATAAGGTGACAGATAAGCGCATTGTTGCGCTGGCAGCCCAGCGAGAAGAGCACACCGCGGATATACACAGCGGCTAACAAGGAGCCCGCACCAGCATGTGGCGCACTTGGTCTTCAACCGGCACCTACGTGCCCCTCCTATCGCCGGAATTTTGACTGCGCACGTGCCGCATAGGTATAAAATGCATCACCTATGAATGCGAAGGTGGCAATCGCAGTCGTGGTTTTTGCCGCGCTGTGCGTCTCTCGGGGAAATGGCGTTGTTGCGTTTCGGGAACGGGCACCTCGCCTGGAGGGCAACGGATACACGGACATTATTGTGCGCCTGCCCCACGGCCTTAACCGCAGCGATCCTGGAGAGTTCTTCGGACAGCTGGAGGTAAGCGGATCCTCCCAATCTTCGTTGTCATTCCTGCACACATTCGCTAAATAAATCCGAAGCATTTCTTATCGAACTTCGACGACTTTGCCCGTATCTATCTATCTATCTATCTATCTATCTATCTATCTATCTATCTATCTATCTATCTATCTATCTATCTATCTATCTATCTATCTATCTATCTATCTATATGCCTACTACATTTAGCTCTCCTGGCCGTTTCAACAATGGGATCTATACCGAAATTTGCATTGTATAACAATACTGTACGGCGGCCATAAGTGACTAGTCATAACATGAAAATCATGACTCCAATCAATGTCATGATTTTCTTGTCATGATCCTGCTGCTCATGCGGTGATTTTGTTCACATGATATATTGCAAAACTGGCATGGAAGCATTCGCATGACTGCATGGGGAACATAGGTGACAGGCCCTAACGTGGAAATCATGATATGCATGGTATGTAAGTCGTGACTGCACAATAGGCTCATGACGTGCTCGCAGTTGTGGGGGGGGGGGGAGGGATTTTAATTGAAAAGAAGATAAAAGTGAGTTTGGTAACTGTCTTGCAGGGGGAGGACAACTCAACAGTAGCTCACGAGGGGTGGGGGTAAGAAGGGATTAAAAGGATAGGATTTAAAGGTATAGAGATAGAGGGAGTGGAAGGAGAGAGCGAGGCGGAGGGACAGCCTCATACAGAAGTATGGAGAAGATAGGAAAGATGGACATGGTCGCAGGAGTCCGAGGATAGAGCACCACTCGGTGAGAGCACTTGTTGGCGTCAGGAGATGGCGTAGGGCGATCCAGTCGGCCAGAGCTGCGCTGTCGTTGGATATCACGGGGAGCACAGCCGGTCGGCACGAAATCCAGCGATTCGCTAGATTCACATATACCAAATGTGGTATTACGAGACGTGAATAGACGACAAATGTATATATCTGGTGCCAAAAATCATAATCATGACATGCGTTTCATCCAAAACATACATGCTACGCTAATAGTCCTCTTGCGGCCGTTTCACTGGATTTCACATATACTGAATTTGCCGTTACGTAACGTGAATGAATGACGAAGGTACACGACTGATGCAAACATGATAATGATGACGTGCCTGTGATGTAAGAACATGACTACATACCACTATCTTGATGCGCTCGCGGCTGTTTCGCTAACTTCACATATATCAAATTTGGTATCACGTAACGTGAATGGACGATGAAGGTAAATGGCACCTCCAAACATGATAATCATGATATGCGCGTCATGTAAAACAAGACTAGATGCTACGCTCATAGCACGCTCGCGGTCGTTTGCCTACTCTCAGATATACTAAATTTTCTATAACGTGACGTGAATGGACGATGGAGATGAAGGACACGCCCGATAATAATATTCACATATGCGTGCCATGTAAAGCATCACTACGTGCTACGCTCATAGCGCGCTCGCAAACGTTTCTCTAGGTTCACGTGCAAAAAATTTGGTATAGATGACGAAGGTACATGACTGGTGCAAACATGATAATCATGATATGCGTTCATGTAAGAACATGACTACATTACGTAACGTGAATGAACGACGAATTTAAATAACACGCCCAAAAAAGATAATCAAGACATATGCGTGCCATGTAAAACCTGACATGCTACGCTCATAGCGCACTCGCGGCCATTTCGGTAGCTTCACATATACCGAATTTGGTATGCATGACGAAGGTATACGATTGGTGCAAACATAATCATATGACATGCGTTTTATGTGAGAACATGACTACATACCACACTCATGATGACTCATGATGCGGTCGCGGCTATTTCGCTAGCTTCATATATACCAAATTTGGTATCACGTGACATGAATAAACGACGAAGGTAGACGACACGTCCAAGCATGGTAATCATGCAGTCATGACAGACATGATAGTCATGTAAAGCCTGACTACATGCTACGCTCATAGCATGCTCACGACCGTTTCGCTAGGTTCACATATATCAAATGTGGTATTACGAGACGTAAATGGTCGACGAAAACAAGTTCCAGGCGGAAACATGAATCATGACACGGAAGTAATGTACGACATAATTAACGTGTGGCTCATAATAACATTGAGCTAATATTAAATTACATAATTACCTTCCTCATTTGTGATTCGCATATGATCGATTCCTACTGTACGAGGGATCCGCCGATTTTTGTCTGTTCTGTGGCTACCCATGCCCACCTCCTCTTTCTGCACCTGCAGATATACTTGTACCACTGTTACTACTATTACTACTACTACTACTAATAATAATAATAATAATAATAATAATAATATACTAGGTGTGCAGCTTATTCACGGTCATAAGGCTAAGGTTCGCGCATGTATACAATGCCTTTATTCGGTAAATACACATGCCACGGAGAACGTTTCTACACAAGTGGCTCGCTGCCAGGCGTGTTTGTTCATTTCACACAAGGCTCGCATCGAAGCTTTCTGTTCATTTTGATTTGGGAGAGTTTTGTACGACCGGCATTAGGACTTCAAAATATTTTTGAATGGCATAACAAAAAGCCAGATCATGGCATTCAACTTAGCCAGGTCAACTTAGCAAACCGAAAAGCAAGATGGTTATAAAATTTCAAAAATCTATGAGAAGAATGTATATGTTAGCCTGCTAAACTGCCTATTCCAGTTGGTTTTCTGAATGCTCCTATTGCTTCATGGAGCTCACATACAGAAATACACTTACTCATACAGATACTTATTCATAGGCCGTCACGTATGTTCAATTATTTATGCATTCGATATATCTCTTGTACTGCGACTATAAATATCACTAAGAACTCAAAACGATACTTTCTACCCAGCCATGCTGTTACCTTGCGACAGTTCTCGTTCGACATTATTCAGGTATTTGTGTCTTCGAGAAGTTTTTGCATGGAATGGTCTATTAAAATCACCCAAATTGAGAGCGATTGTTTATATCTTCATTGACCTATGGCCAATTCTCTACATTCTGTTCACATTTGGTGCAAACTACGCCACATTGATATTAGGAGCATGCGTGTACCTCCTCCTTCACACACAAAGTAATATAACATTAAAGGGGCTCTAAAACAGTTTTTTGAATAACCATGAAATTAGTTCGCTGAAAGAGCTTATTGCCTCACAAATTGAACACCGCAAAATTTTCAAGAAACCGTCCAGTACGAGTGGAGTTGCAAAGATTTGTCGCACGCTGCAATTGCATTCTCTCGTCTCTCGTCCTGACAAAAGCACTGGACGCTAAGCAGGGAGAGATGGCAGGGCTAACAAAATACGTCGCGGGCACCTCGTGACCTTGAGCACGTTTTTTTCTTTTTTTTTGACTACACGGCTTTTTTAGTACTATCGCGCGCGCACGCGTGAACAAGTGACGACTTCCCACGGCTTTCTCTGTAACGACCGAGCGCGTCATGTTCAAATCAGCCAATGGCTGATAGATGGCCATTCTACGAGTAATTTTTCAGCGTCTTCCGTCATTTGTCGAGGGAAGATAAAAAATTTTAGCTGACTCTGATAGTTTATTGTGAATTCCAGGCCGAATGTTGCACTATACTATATGACTCGCGTGTTCTCGGGAACCTCTACTACCGAATCGGCAGCGTTTTGTCACCATTCTCAGAAAGTGTTGAAGGGCCCCTTCAAGTCTTGCGTATTTAGTGAATGTTAAAACTGCGTTCAAGCAGTGCCAGGCAAAAAATACCAGTAAAAAGAAACTTAGAGAATGGTGACAAAACGCTGAGAACGACTTCAAAAATTGAAGAGATAACATAAACATTGAATATTGTTTTGACCCCAGCAGCACGCATTAAAAAATGAGTAGACATAGTGCTTACACAACAAAACAACTTTTCAACCAAGAGCGCACGACGATTGGCGTCTACGGAAGACAAGAAACAAGTCAACCGAGGTGCTCATAACAGCTGACGCTAGTTCATTGAGATGGCACTACTTGTTTTTCCAGCATAGTGCATTCCTGCGCATTGTCACATACAAAAATGATACAAACTTCCGGCGAGTGCATGCAATGTCCACACTTACTTGACACCCATGAGAGGCGTGTGCGCTAACACCTTATACTGCCTAATAAGCAAAAAAGGGAGCACCATCATAATGTGATAAGCATGCTTGCTTCATGTTCGCTCGTCGTTGAGGGGTAAACATACACGTCATTCACGGGTATCCGATATACAAACACTTGAAAGTAGCGCGCCCCACTGCGGTGGTCTAGTGGCTAAGGTACTCGGCTGCTGACCCACGCAGGTCGAGGGTTCGAATTTCGGCTGCGGCGGCTGCATTTCCGGTGGAGGCGGAAATGTTGTAGGCCCATGTGCTCAGATTTGGGTGCACGTCACAGAACCCCAGGTGGTCGAAATTTCCGGAGCCCTCCACTACAGCGTCTCTCATAATCATATGGTGGTTTTGGGACGTTGACCCCGACATATCATCATCATCTTTGAAAGTAGCGCTCTCCAGCCGTTCACGGGTACTACGCGGGTTGCCCTGACTCTTGCGTTTACGTAAGTGTGTTCGACGGATCTCAGGTATAGCGAACATAACGTAGAACACACTAAGCTAGCAGAAACTAAAATGTTCAGGGAAGGTCACGTGTGTCAACAATATATGGAAGACGTTGCTGCACACCCCGCTGCCTAGTTTCACAGAATACGGCGAAAGGCAACCAGCATGCACCGCTTATTCTTATGAATAGATAGTTACAGTATCGCAATATCGCTAACGTTCCGCTATTTATCTGCACACTCCCAGGAAGCCGCTTGACAAGCCTGTCTCGGGTGCGTGAAGTGCGCGCCTCATCCTTCTTGTCTATACTTGCACAGCCACAGTATAATGAATACGGTGAGCAAGCAATATGCTACGTGCATCAACCCTGCTCCTTCAAATGCATTCTACGCTCAGCGCGACAGCTTTTCTTGGCACTCAAGGGAAAGCTCGGAGCCAAATCGCGTGCATCCTACCGCCAGTGAAGGTAGTTTGAAAGTAACGCTCGTATTTTCAACGTGAAGTATAAATGTTCCTCCTTTATTTTCTGCGTGGAGCTATTTGAGACATGACGCAGCTCACACCTGTAAGGTATTCATATTTATTTTATTTATCTGTTGTGACTTCGCGTTTTTCAACGCGTGAAAAAGTTTCCGCTTTTTACCTGCGCCGCAAACGCTAAGCGGCGTCTGCGTCTATACATGAAATGCTCATGGTACGCCCCCATCACTTTCCATGGCATTACGAGACGCGCGTCAAAATAGACTACTTCGCGTCGTGCTACATGTGCAGAAGCTCTACATCCATAGCTTTCCTTTCAGTGCCCAGAAAATTTGCCGTCGAGTATAGTACAACCGAAAATGTTACGAATATTTTAATCTCACTAGTAGGTGCTCCCCGTGGTGAATGCGATGAAGCTTTAATGAGAATTGAACCGTGAGCAAATCAGTAAAATATCTCTACTTTTTTGCTCGAGTGGCAACAGTAAGCCAAAATCTTTCAGGCAGCCACAGAATACAGAATGATACCTCGATTTTTTTATAATATTCAGGGTACAGTAGAGTTCAGTCATCTCCCGCGCCGTCAAATTTATCGGAATGAGCTTTGAGCGACATGTGCGCTTACTGATTGATGGCTCTCTAATTGGCATCGCCGTCGTCTGCTCAGGCAAATAAGCCCGCATACAGTATGTTCAGAGGGTGGTGCTGGAATCGAAAATAAGCGCTAAATATGCAGTGATCTGAAGAAATCTCGACAGATACTGCTAGCATGCTCAGCTGCAAGAGAAAAAAAAAACGCACGGTGCGCTTTTTAGCGTGACTGTGTCGTGCAGTATTAACCACAATAAATGGTTACAACATAAAATTAATTACAATTTATCCGTGCAATATAATTGTGCTCGGTCATTTTTGTTCTAACAGTAACTATATTTTCGCTGTTAATGTAGTTACTACGCATATCAAGAACTAAAAGATTGTTGTCTATAGATAAAATGTTATGTTGGGCTGAAAGTGACGGTGGAACCTCCGCTGAAATTCTGGAGGAAGTTAAACTTCTTAACCAAGAGGTAACGACGCCAACATGTGTCTGTCACCTGCCTGAATTACACGTAACGTGAACAACGTCACGAAAATGATCAAATGAAATTGGAAGGGCATCTAAGAATATTCTCTAGGACAGTTGTTTCTGAGCAGAGCTTGCATTTTTGGGATTTAACCAACGGTAGCTTCTGTTGTGTTGTGTTGACGTGTGATTCAGGTTTATATCGCCTCGACAACTCCCTTTCTGCAAAATCTGGCTTCATGTAAACATAACCACACAATAAGAAAAGAAGAGATTATATTTCATGGTGTCACCTTATACCAACATTGTCCAGTCTAACACTCGCAGATCAATGTTAATGCTGAAATAAAATATATCATGCTTTTCATCGTTTATCAGCCCACTAAATATACCAACGTTCTTGTCTGATAAACCTGTGGCAGATCATAAAATACCAAAAATTTGAGCCTAAAAAGGACGCTAATGGGCAGTACAAATGTAATCTGACTGAAGGGGCTCAGCGGCTCATTCAAAGTAATGTTACAAATAATGTTAATGAATAAAACCCTCTACAAACTTTTGCAAGTTACTGCACATGCAATCCCTACTTTTTATGGGTACGTCTTTCTCTGCAAATTATTTTTTATGCCTTGGATTCTCCAGAGGTTGCTTCGCCGTGCATCAGGAAGGCTTCTCCAAGCATCCGACGGCCGATGGTACTTCAGAGGTATACGCGTGGTGGTGCCACCCAATATGGAGACTCCTCGTAACCTGTTGCTGCAAGACGCCACTTGGGAGCTTTTCAACGATGCCCACATCGTTTTCACCAAGCAAGGTAGCAAGTGCAAGGCTCGACAAAGTAAGGGATGCGGCGAACGGGGCGACTTCATAATGCTACCTGTGAGCGCCCTCGACGCATCTGTGGACATTGGTGAGATACTACTTTAATGAACTCCGCACTTTGATGTTGCACCAGCAGCACCTTCACCAACATCATTGCGCACGATGTCAATTCTGAATAAACATGTGCACCTTTCCTAACAAAAACAGTAATAACATGGTAACAGTGAGCACTTAAATGCGTAGCACTTCAGAGCCCGGCTTATCGTTCATCCAGTGTCATGTCGTCATGATCACAATGACAATAAATTGCTCAACACAGGCTGAAAACAAATTATAAAATCACAAAACCGAAACAAAATAAATGCAAACAAATACGCCCTGTATTTGCATGTTACACTGCGAATGTCGTCGAAAGATTATGGTCTTGCGGCTGTAGAGAGTGAACAAAACGTTTATTTGATGTTGTGCGCAATAAAATCGGTGAATGGTATTCTGAAGGCGCTGCGTTAGAGTGCTTCGAGCGTGCAGCGGAGACGAACGAGCATATCAAGTCACGTCACACATGAGACATGAGCAATTTCTGGCAGTTATCTTGGAAAACGAAGCACGCGAAGCACGCTCGGAGGTGATAAGCTGTATAACTCAAGGCGACGGGTAGGTGCCACCACCGTGTCGTCTTAATAAAGCGTTGGAAACACTTGCCTTTTCGTTCAAGCGTTGCATGGTCAGCGGAACGTGATAAACGCTGCGGTCCCTAGAATTACTTATGTATGCCTTTTCTAGTAAGAGACACACATACAGAGTAGTGACGACATGTTATGGCGCCTTAGAGATGTGCAATATTTGCTTTTTAATTGACAATCGCACAAGTATGAACGCTGAGTCTTGACCAATTTTGTTGGGCGCTGCGGATAGGGTCAGCCGTTTGGAGTATCCTTTGGCCACTTTGGTGCCGTTTAGGGTACTGTTAAGGGCGGAAAACCAGACATATGTACAGGCAGACCAAAATTTTGGCGTCAAAGGTCCCCCTAAAAGGCTATCGTCTTCATTATTTAAAGTATTGTAATTACCAAAAATCACCGAGAAATTTTGCCAATACTTTGTTAAAATAACTAAAAACGCAATAGAAGCATGTGGCTGCCATCCGTGCCGCGCTGTAGAAGGCGATATAGTCTCACCAAGAGCGTGATTGCTCCAACGCTTCTCCGCCGCATCCTTTGCATCTGAAGGGTAAACAACCTGATGGAGCTCGACGCAGATGATACGTATCTCAAATGCCGTATCCGACAGGATATAGCGCACCCATCCGAAGGTACTCATGTCACACCCCGAGTTTGCAAATCTCTTTAAGAAGCTTTGCTCGAGCCAAGGTAACCGTTCATGCTTACCTCCAACATTGACGCCACCGATGATTTGGTAAACGAAGCAGTGGGTGCCATACGAACCGTCATCGTTGGGTGCCTGTGATACGCACTTCCTCACGTTTCACTGTAGTTAGCTGCATTTAACGCATGATTTAGAACTGCACCCATCCCTAAAGAAGAACAAGTGTTTTGTTTGTTTGTTTATTTGCTTGTTCGTTTGTTTACTTTTTGTTCTGGCGTGAGTGGACTAAAATGTTACATGCAGTACAAGTGCCCGGTTCGATTTGTACTGTCTCTTCGTTCGTTTATGATGTCGCGGCTCTAAAAAAGAAAATAATCCATAGCACACATATTAGAAAAGCTGTTGTAGGCTCACACAAGATATATGTTTCAATATAACAGTGGAAGAGGTTTCACTTTATCGCGGTTATTTTCATTTTTTAATATTTTAGCCACCATCATTCACTAATGCAAAAGACAGCGACTACGCTATAACAATTATGGACAGCCAACTGTTATTTTTTATTTGGATGAAAAAACCCTAACAGCATAGTTTAATAATTGGAATATTATGCTCAGCAATTATATTGTGATGGTACACAGTGAGACAGACCTATAGCTCAGGAAGTCTGTCGTTGACACATGCTGCTTGAATTCCATTTGTTGCAATTATGTTCAAATAATAAATTCAAAAGCCACATATCCTGGCACAAACACCAAAAAATGGTTCTATCGGAATAAACATTTTTTTTTTTAGAAAAATGGCTCTTACTCATTTTGGTGCGATTTTAGCTATATCGAAGATGCACCTAAAATTCGTTATAGCTGGAATAGGCAGGTCCTGATATTGTAAACGGGAGTGGCGCAAAACCCACAACCTTAAAATCACGACGATAGTTATAGCGCGAGAACAAAACGACGACACAAAGACAAGAAGGACACGAAGGACACGAGCGCTTGTGTCCTTCTTGTCTCTGTGTCATTGTTTTGTTCTCGCGCTATAACTATCGTCATGCCATACCAACTAGCCCAAGCTGCCACACTTAAAATCACGTTGGCTTAGTTGATAGAATTTATTGAGCCTATTTGCATTCGGGAAGAGTAATGATTTATTGTAGACCCTAAATATACAGTGCCTGTTCAGTAACCTGCGTCTTAGACATTCTCGACATCTCTTATTCAGTTCTAAAATGTTTCTCTTTCTATCTTTGAGCAATGTAAGCTGCGAAGTTCGTGCTGAGCTTCATACTAACAATCGTGTTATGTTACCGGGCATGTGTATGTGGTTGACAGTTGTCAATGACATTCAGATGTCTGTTTGCGACATTGTTGAACCATGAACGTTTGTCTATACGTTTTGTGGACGGCATCAATTGGAAGCGAAAACATTATTGTTATCTTCGCTATTTATAGAGATATTCTGTTGTTCATGTGCGCCTCTTTACCGGCAACAATCTTGGATAACAGATATAGCTGTGACGTTAAGCACACGCGCTCGCGTTTGTATAGCCAATGTTAAAATGACTGACACTGTTTTCGTTCTCTTTAAAACTTTCTCCAGACGCAGCGGCATCCTCACTTGTTCGCAGCTGGGCCCAATTTCGCTATGGTGTGTTTGAAGAGACGGCGTTCGGCTCCAGGCCGCAGTGGTGCTTCTACGACGGGTCATTTTGGCGTCCCACCGGCTGCTACACGACGAATGTCACTGCACGGTATAGAAAATTTGTGAAATAACAAAGTACAAATTTACTTTGTACTATAAAAGAAGCCAACAGTTGTACAATCGAAGTCACAGCCTCGAGGCGTCTTTTGAGCTTTCTCGTAGTCCAATTCAGGGTGTTAAATTGCAATAAGTCTCAGATATATTTCTATGCATTGAGGTTGCTCCAGAATCACGCTTTCGCATGTCACGCTTTTGCTCGTAACAGATGGGCACAAAAAGTAGGCTTAGACGGGGCAACCCTCATCTTGTTCTTGATTTCGATGTTTAAGCCTTCTTCACAGTAACAAGTTTTACACCCTGAAGGGTGTAAATGAGCTTGTGCCATGGACGACACCCTAAGGGTGTTAATTCAGCACCTTCCAAAAAAGGTGATTTTCCATGCACCCTTAGAATAGAGTGTACATGTAAAAAAACTGAAGGGTGTTACAAAAACACCCTTAAGGAAAGGTGCCTTCGATGTCCTTAACTTTTTTAGCACCCTCTGAGGAGGAAGCGAGAAGGGTGCACAAGGGTGTTGAGTGCCCATGGCAGGGGTGCCAGTATTCTTTTAGACTGTACTAATAGATATCAGCATGCACTGATTACACACTACTTGAAGAAAGTGGTCCTGATTATCAATGGTGCGCCACCTTTCTAGCTTCATTCATTGCGTGTGGGCAAAAATATAAACACGTACAATCGTGTATTAACGTCTGCCAGATCTATATATACTTCACAGTATATGCATAATGCGCGTTACAGAAAACTAAGCCTTGCTGCCCTTGCATATTGCCTTTATTTAGTAGGCAAATAAAACTTATAAACTTTTCTTCTGCCACACAACTTTTTCACCAGATGTGCAACATGTTGACGTATACGTACACTACACACGCAACACCTCAAATGTTTAGTGTATTTTTTCAGTTTCTCTTTATTGACAATTCTTTGAAACATACAATTACACTGCTTTCAGTTTAGTATACTGCTTTAAGTACACAGTGTCATGACCAAGAAAGACACTGGGGCTCCGGCACGCGGATAGCTAGAGCAAGGAAGAGAAGAACGAAGTCAGAATAAGAACAGCTGGCCCAGGATCGGGTGTTGTCTCTTGTTCTCTGCCTCGCTCATCACAATGGCGCAGTCCAACAAGTGAACCCTCTGCGGGAAGCCACCAGTACGTGTCTTCGTGGTTCGTCGGCAGTGCGGGCTTCTCCATCCAGGAACGCCATTCATGCTTCTTTGGCGATGGAGTCAACAACCCGGCCGCCACTTCAGGTGCCCAACGAACCATCAGTGGACGGTGTCCATGCCTCTTCTGTGGTACCAGGGTATCACCCAATGGACACTATGCTACCACTTCGCGGCCGTAATACGCACGGGCTCCTGTCCTTTGGGAATGCTGTTCAAGCTTCCCACGACCTGCATTCCCTGTCCGGTACTCATCCCACATACGAGCCACCAAGAAACGCTGTTCATGCTTCCTTGGACGTGCGTGTCACCGCCGTGAATACTACAAGAACCACGTACTTCACGGACGCGAACCAAAGCGGTTCAGAAGCCTCGTGCGACAGTGCCGTGGAACTGCGGCGTACCATCGCGCTACTCCGTGTCGAGACTAACAAACTGACCGCGTTGATCGCCGAGCGAGCTCCTACAATGTTGCCATCATTGTGTGACATTAACACAGTGTTGGATGTAGCTAGCTGCCTCATCCGACCTTGAGGCAAGCACACCGGAGCAATGCAGGAAGCTTCGGTCTTCTCTCATCGAGCCCTCACACCAGCTCGACTGCTTCGCGTCGGTGATATCTGCGTTGCCACCTGCCACCTCACAATCACCAGCCGTCTGCAAACTACCGGAACTCTACGGGGTCCGGAACGACGCTGACAGCTGGGTGGCAACCGTCAACGCCATAGCAATGCGCGAGGCCTGGCCGGAATCTCAGAAATGGACCGTGGCTGTAGACCGTCTTCGGTAAGGTGCAGCGGCGTGGCACCGGTATGAAGGCTTCAAGCAGCAGTCCTGGGTGGAGTGGAGCTCTAAGCACATAGCTGCCTTGGGCCGGACACTCTCCGATCTCCCTTCCACCACCCAGTTCAACCTGACTACTACCGATGATAAGGCGCAGGAGGGTTTCCGCCTCCAGGTTGCAGTCATGCGTTGCAGTTCACTTGAGCTTTCGGACTCTTTGCCGTCGTCCAATTCAAGTTCAGCTCAGCCAAAGACCACTATCGAAGACGGGCCTCGTGAAGGACGTCACTCAAACGACATACCCACACTGAACCATCTCGAATGTGCAGCTGTACCCTGCATAAGCTTTGATGACCTCTTGGCTGAACGCTCCGCAGGGTACACTGAAACAGGCTCCAAGGCAGGCGTCGCTCTTCCGATGCCAGGTTCCACACCGGGACCCATCTCACGAACTTCCGTACCAGCAACCAATGCCATTTCCAAGACAGAGCTGCCTGAGACAACCGTGGACAGCAAGGAGACAATCTTGAACCAGTGTGTACCACATCTGCAGTCATTGGCCAAGCGTGTGAGCTACATCGATGCGTTCCAGGCAGAGAGAGCCAGCATCGGCCTCTCTGGCAACATGATGTACGATCTTGCCGATGAAGACAAGCAGGCCATTCTGACTCCCAACATACAACCTGAACGTCGCACAGACCCCCATGAAGTCGTCACCATTGAAATCGCCCCTGATTGTTCAGGCCATGACCAGCTTGGTCAAAACAAGAGCCATAACAGCAAGGAAGCTGCGGGCACGTCGCATCATGATTGTGTCCAGTGGCCGGTGAGCGCTCACACTCACCCGCTGTTGCGCAAGCATTTTCCAGCTCGATATTCAAACGCGCATAAAAACCACACCACCCCACTCAGACGACATAAATGTCTACTCGGCAAGCAACGAATGCTCCAACACACCCACTGTCGCCCACCCAATCTCTACACCATGTTACAGCGTCGTAAAGACAGACCACCGAGGTACAACCAGTTTGATACCCTCGAGGCCTCATCGGCCAAGGTTCGAGCGAATGACAATGCCCAACGTCAACAACGACACTGTGGCCCACCAAAGCAACAAATACAGTTTTAGGGTGCCGAGTCACAGCCTAGACGGGTCCGGCCCAGGAGAGGAAGTCAATGCCACCCACCAGAACTGTTTTCACCAAGTCTTCCGAACACGTCAAACCTTGGACGAGATCAACCACAACGATGCAGCCAGTCTCGACCTCCCTATAGACTTGTGGCCGACTCCTGCACCCAGTTCCAGCGTGGTCGAGGCCGACCTCCGAGATGCAGCCAGTATCGACCACCAGATCTACTTCTGGCAGATACCCGGACCAAATCGCAGCATGGCTGAGAGCGTCGGCCGCAATGGGGCAGCCAGTGCCGGCCACCTGAGTCCACAGTACTTTTTCAAGAGACATCGTGGTGTTCAAAAGAGCGACCGGCTCGAGGCAGCCAGTGCCATCCACCAGAGACGCTTTCCCTAGACCGTCGCTCCATCTTGCATTGGGTCCGGGCTGACCACCACGATGCAGCCAAGCCTGCCCACCAGAAACTTTGCCGCCAGCTCCGGGCGCGCGCAGTCATGGCCGAGTGTCATGACCAAGAAAGACACTGGGGCTCCGGCGCGCGGATAGCTAGAGCAAGGAAGAGAAGAACGAAGTCAGAATAAGAACAGCTGGCCCAGGATCGGGTGTTGTCTCTTGTTCTCTGCCTCGCTCATCACAATAGAGACTACAAATTAAATACACGCTAATATATCCCCATATTTCTTTCAAGTATCTACAATCCCAGTGGTTTCAAGTTTAAGACTCCTTCGTGTACAAAATCGGTTAGTAGGATAATACTGGCAAATATAATACTTATTATTCTTTCAAATATATACAATCACCATGATCTCACTATATACGCATTCATGTACACAATCATTCCCAAGAATTGATGCACACAAAATATATACGCATAGTGTTTTCAAGTGTATACAATCACAGTGGTTTAAGCTTTGTATTTCTAGATGTATGACAATTGGTTATGAGAAATGATGTACATGCAAACATATATGGGTTTTCGCACATACAACTTTAGCGAATACTTCAAAAACCAATACAATGATCAGAAACAGAATAAGCTAAAAACGAACACAAAACTGAGTCAGGGCACACAAAAGCAAAAGAGGTAATGCATAATTATGGCTAATGACACAGCTGGGTCATTTTATGCTAAATGTCCTAGCCATTTTGGCAACCATCTCAAACGTATTAGAAAAACTCGTGCTGCATTGAAAATAGTGAACTTCTGGAATATTTAGGAGAGCAAAAATATTTGGTCACGTGGCTGCCTTCTGGACTTCCTGGAATGGAGTCTAGGTGTTGTATGAGAAAAATTTTATTTTAAAAGCACCGCTCCTTTCTATGCGAAACTCGGTCTACGTGTTACGTAACAAGAGTTTAATTTGGGCAAGTTGGTTCATCGTGGTTGTGTGCTAGTCACAGCGCGACAACTTCAGAAAGAGACAGAAAGGACAAGAAAGAGCACCGACTGTCAACTGAATTTATATAGTGCTACGAGCGCTTTTATACGGAGTATAAGAGCCGTGCTCATGCGCGACGACACGTGTGATCACCACAAAAAAATCTTAACTGAGAAAAGAATACTCCCTCTCGGAAAGGATAAGTGAACGTGTAGTGATGCACTGTTCATTGGTTTACCTGATAAAAAATACTTCTACAAATGTTAAATTGGCATTGAGTAAACCTATTCGCGTGACGTATGGTGCAAGATTGACTATTTCTGATGCTGTTTAGTACACACACTTTTAAAAGCCTGCAAGGGGTGGAAAACAACAGGTTAATATCATATCTGCTGGCTATTTTTTTAATTGTGAGACACGTGATGTGGTATAACATGCAAAGGTTTTGGTCATTGTTTTTTGTTGGTCCTGTCTTCTTTACTTTCTGCAGGAGGGTTTCGCAAACGGGTGTGATGATTCTGTTGGGA